TGAAGGGAGAGCCTTGGTGCCAAGGTACATATACCAGGGGGGAGGGGGTCTATGCTAATGTATTTTCCTTTGCTACCACAAAAGCTCTAGAATATTCTGACGAGGCTCCACGCATGTGCAGATTACCCATAGTGTGATTCACAGAGGCCACGAAGAAGAACAAGTCATTAATATGAGAGAGGCTTGCTGTTTGTCAGTTACATATGCCAACTCCATCCATGTGCCAACCTTGAAATAAGGTTTGAACTGATTTGTTGTATATAACAAATAAATTGTTAACAAAATATTTAAGTTTTTTTAAAGGGTAAAGGTAAAGGTAAAGGTTGTCATTAATATGAGAGAGGCTTGCTGTTTGTCAGTTACATATGCCAACTCCATCCATGTGCCAACCTTGAAATAAGGTTTGAACTGATTTGTTGTATATAACAAATAAATTGTTAACAAAATATTTAAGTTTTTTTAAAGGGTAAAGGTAAAGGTAAAGGTTCCCCTTGACATTTTTAGTCCAATCGTGTCCGACTCTAGGGGGCGGTGCTTATCCCGTTTTTCAAGCCGTAGAGCCAGTGCTTGTCCGAAGACAGTTTCCATTGCCACATGGCCAGCGTGACTAGGGAATGCCGTTTTACCTTCCCACTGAGGTGGTACCTGTTACATACAGCACTGATGTTACCTGTCTGTCATGGGTTTGGAGGGAAAGTTCCATCCTATGGGGAGTGGAAGGCGGGACATCAGGAGGAGGGGCTGTACTGTATATAAATGTGAAGCCTGTGTGGTGAAGGGAGACGCTGGGATGTGACGAAGCAGCAGCTGGGAAGAAGAAGCTGTTGTGGGAGTCTGTGTGTCAGACAGGGTACTACTGTGTGTCAGAGTACCAACCTGATAGGTTCAGGTGTCTGTTGGTTAGCCAGAACTGATAGGTTCAGGGTCTGTGCTTCAAGTTAAGGGTTCTGTGTGAACCAAACTGTATGCATGTATGAATGAGAATAAGCCACGTTACTTTATCTTATTCACCTGATTATTTTATTTTCCCTGTGTGTATTTAAATAAACCTTATTCTTTATTTGTTTGAAAATCCATCCCTGGTCTGTGTGACTTCTTATAGGGAATGGTTGGTGGCAGCTTAGTGTAACGTGTGGCAGATCCCAGTAGGTCTGGGTTTGTCACAATACCTATTTATCTACTCACATTTGCATGCTTTCGAACTGCTAGGTTGGCGAGGAGCTGGGCCAAAGTGACGGGAGTTCACTCCGTTGCGTGGATTCAATCTTACAACTGCTGGTCTTCTGACCCTGCAGCACACAAAGGCTTCTGCGGTTTAGCCCACAGTGCCACCATGTCCCTTTTTTTAAGGGTACCACAGAGGAAAGCAAAAGCTCTACTGTGGACTTACGTTTTGGAGATGGAGCTGGGCAAACCAAGGAAGTCACTTTTCCCATGTATGGTATTGGATTTTGCCTTTTCCTCTCACAAAATTGCAGTGTTGATGAAAAAAAAAGGATATAAAGGAGCTGTAACTGCATTCAGCTGAACTAGGTTACAGAAGTTCCATAGGACTGGGAACTTGATAAAGCAGGATGGAGTTTTGTAACCATCTTACATTTCTGCTAAAGACCTTTCCTGTCAACATGGGAAGGCTGAGAGTGGAGGATGTGGGCCTGGAGGCTACATCCTTTGCTCTCCTTTATGGTTTGAAAACAGAATGACTGAACAGGGCTAGGAACAGTGCAGAACCAGTATTGACTGTCACATTCATTATTGTGTTGACATCAACAGTGTGAAATGACAAGCTGAATGTTCTAATGCCTTAAAGTCATTTTAAAATATCTGGAAAGGGCAGAGGAGGAAATGAGACCTATAATTGAACTCCATAGTGTTTCACCCACCCAGCTCATGCAAAAAGGCTTTAAAATGGCCCCAACTTGAAAAAATTAGTTGAATGCAACAGTAGGTTTGCAAAAACTCTATAAAACCCTAAGACCTCATAAGCCTGTGGAGGTCTGTTAACAATTTCCCCTTGATTTAAGACATCCTCTGAAAGCTTTAACTTACCTAGGGTTTCTTAGAAAAAGCAAATACTGTACTACTGGCTTCACTCTTGTATGAGAAGACTCGGCTACACTGAGAAAGACCATGGGAATAGGAGAGATATCTTGGGCCACTTTAATGGACTTCCCAAGGGACTAACCAGGACATTTGGTTCCTGAGGTAAAGTGTCCCATGGTACCCCAAACCTGCCAAGTTACTCAGACACAGGAAACAAAATCCCTCAAGGATGTCTAGCAGTAACTTTAAAAAAAGAGAGCAAAACCAAGTAACAATTTAAATAACAGTTTGCTGTCCTTTCATTACACTCAGAACCTTATGCCTTGGCAGATTAGTATCTTGGCTTAATAGCAGGATTGGCCATTTCTCAACCCTCCAGCAATGCAAAGTGCCAGTTTCCAAAACTCAGTGCGAACCCCAGAAGTCAGAATGCATGCTTTATAACCATGGCTAAGACTGACAAAGATAAAACCTTGTTCTAGAGTTGCTTGATGCTTTATAACCATGGCTAAAACTGACCACCACAAAGATAAAACCTTGTTCTAGAGTTGCTGTAATCCACATACAGAGAGGAGAATGGGCAAAAGGGGAGCCAGATCCAAAGAAAGGTCTGTTTAGACTCATATTCTAGAGCATCCACTAGCTCTCCCCATTCTAACCAGGGCATGAGAGTCACTGCCTTTTATTTGTTTCAGAAAAAGAACATTCCATCCCTCAATGACTTACCACGCTAAGAGTGAAGTGAGATAATCAGGTGTCGTGGGGTCTGGACTAATAGGTGGAGATGTCACAAAAGCAGCTGCTTTGGCCCAGTTCTTACTCCAGTAATGTGAACCATCAGTGCCAAGACTAGCAGTAATGGGCTCTCCATAGACAACTGTGCCTGAAGAAATAACAACAGTCATGACTGCCTGTAGAAAGAAGTCTTTGAGCCATCAGAGTTGACGGCAATGTTTGAACCATCAAGCAGCCACATGTTTTCTCATCTGCTTGCCTCATTCCCTGCCATGCAGAAGTCTGATAAAGAGAAGTAGCTTGAGATATGGATGCTTTTGTTTGTTTGTTTGTTTTTGGAACCATTCCCTGCTACATGGATGCTTTTGTTTGTTTTTGGAAGGGGGACATTTTGAGTGGGCTGGTTTTCATTTTTTGTTAAGGCAGGAACCTAGTGTGGTAGAGTGGACAGAGTAACAGACTAGGTCTGAGGAGACATAGGTTTCTGCTCACAGAAACTGTGTATGCGTGTGTGACACTAATAAAATCACACCTTAAATATCTCACTTACCTTGAAAGCTCTGTTAAAGTCACTATAATTTAGTTCTGACTTGATAATGCATAACACAAGGAACAGAGCCTGGAAAAGTTACTTTTTTTGGACTATAACTTTCATCCAAGTTCTGTAAAGGATATGTTTGGGTCTTCGTCTGCTTGCTTCTTTTGTTTTAAAGACATTATGGAGATGCAGCTTTTAAGCTTTTCTAAGTTGTGTTTATTGACTGGATTTGGTCTTTATGTTAACCACTGAAGTATTCCCAAGGAGGCAGTATTTATGGCCAGAAGAAGCCATCAAATTCAATCAATCACACCAAATAACTACATAACATTAAATGACACAGCTCCAAGCATAAAACTAGAAGGGATCTTGAAGGCCATCTGAGCCAGCCTCATGCTCAGTGCAAGGATGTACAATGGAGAATGAAACAAAAACATCCCCAACTTATGGCCATCCAGCTTCTGCCAAAATCCTCCAACGAATGAGATACCATCACTTCTTGAGACAGTCTCTTCTACTTTAAACAACTTGCACTATTATTACAGAGTCTATCCTAAAACTTAGCCAAAATCTGCTTCTCTACTACTTCTGCCCTTTGTTCCAGTCCTGCACTCTTCAGCAACACAAAACAAATCTGTTCCATTTCCTGCATGACAACCATTCAGACATTTGCAAGCTGCAACTGTTTTTCTCCTTGGTCTTCTCTTCTCTCATCTAAATACTCTCGATGCATATCTTCTGCACAGCAAATAAAGTATTTGGGTGGCTCCACAGATGAGCAAACAAGACAAACAAACAAAACAAGTGCTAGCAAATAAAGTATTTGGGTGGCAAACAAGACAAACAAACAAAACAAGTGCACCAACAAGCAAAATACAGGACTGAATCAAAAAGCAGCTGCCCAATATTCAGCACCTTTGGTGTTAAAGTTATACTACTTGGACTGAAAGAGTATGGCATTTGGAGACCTCGTTGATGTCAATGTAGGTCTCATCTGAGTATCTAATCAAAGTTTTAGGGGGCTTGGAGATAATAGTTTGGTCTGGTTATCTACTGCTGTTCTACTGTATGTACATAGCATGCACTGTTTAAAACTGTTTTAACTATTTCACATAGTTTCAAATGTTGTTTTAAGTTTTAATTGATTGGTAATATTTTACTGTTTGCAATGAAATCCTCTCATAAAGGCAAAAGTATTTTATTAAAATAAAAATAAATTATGAAAGCAGAAAATAGAGATGGCTCTCTCCCAAAATAATAAAATAAAGGATGCTGAGCTAGTTACCCAAGTGCCAACCTTGCATATTAACACTGATGAAGACAACCAAATACTGAGGATGAACTTTTCTAGAAAAGCATATCTGAAGATTTACAAGCAGCGATTGTGTGCCTTCCCCATTCACACAAACTGACATGCCTTGACCTTAGGGCTCTGGGACTTAGAATGAGTCCAACGATGATCTGACAACATGATAGGACGGATACCACAGATCTGTCAACGCTGAGGATGCTTAAATGACATGAAATAATTTCAAGTCCACTTTCAAAAGAAACTAGGAATCTACGATGAGTACTCTTTGCCTGATCTCCTGGAGGAAAAGGTATGCTATTCATTATATATTGAAACACTTAGCCCCTCACCTTTTCATTAAGAAATTGTTAAAACATGACAAGAAGATGCCCATATTTTTCAAATATCTTGAATACAATTTAGCACAAGAGAGCTGCAATTAAGTCCTATGAAGATCAAGAAGAGATACTCATTACCAAGTCCCACTCTTTGGTATTCCAGGGGACAAATTTTTAGTCTCATGACATTGTTGATGGGAAGAGGGAAGACTCTGTTCCTTGTTTGTGACTGCTTATACTGGAATGACCCATCAACAAATATCCCTTCTATCTAGCCATCTGTCCATCTACCTAACCCTATTCGGGAATGCTAAAAGCAGAGTTAGGGAACACTTGAGGAAAGAGAAGCATGCTAACCTTTCCTCTGCCCCATCATTCTCTAGGTAAGGATGGTGGCTTTCTCAAATCAAAAGCCCTTTCTATCCATGGAGCTTCTTTATGCAAGTCAGAAGATCAATTGTCCAGAGATTTTCAATTATGTGGAGAGTTTCCATACATAAAGGAGGTTCTTCTTATCAGAAAGTTAGCCTCCATCTGTGCTTGGTGGTGAAAACAGGGACTGAAGGCTACCATGCTCTTCCTTCTCATGTATTTACTTCACCAGCACTTAGAACACTTGAATAGGACATTTGTGTATCTGTTATTGGTATGTTATTCTGCCCAGCAACCTCTGGTACTGTATTGCAAATGTTTAAACCAGAAACTCCCACAATCTGTCCCTAATCCATGCTTGAAGTTGAAGTCCCAAACATCTGGAAGGCTCCAAGCAGATCTATAGTATCCCTGGCTGATTCAATGCACAACTGAACAAGTATTCAGGATGAGAAGCAGCTTGAATTTATGGGATATTTTCTTGACACTAATATTCCAGTGGTGGTGAGGGAAGGGGGAAGAAAAATGATGCATGGAGTTGCCTCCACATGCAGGATAAAAAGGAAGAATCTTTTGGACCTGGATCCCGAACTCTTTGAATTCAACTGTGCTCAACTAGCATTTAAACAATACTGGCCAGAATCCTAGTGATATTAGTGATATTAGTGTACTTAGGCATGGCTAAGTACAACAAACTATTCAAGTACCAACAAATATTTTGTTTGTGCAATCAGGGGCATGACCAGGGATGCAAATGAGACATACATTGGAATCTCAACAATTAGCTGCAATTATGCACAGCAAATTATATGAACACAGAATTCTGGCCAGTATATTTTTAATAAACTTCACAGCTACTGGAAATTCAGCTGATACGTAAATACAGTTTTCAGCAGGAGTATGTGTGAACCACTGTGTGAAAAGGGCAGGTTGCTCATCCTCATCTACTGTAGAATGATGTGGTACCTACCTTTTCTCTTGGCTTGAGCTATGACATCTGCAGCTCCTTTGCTCATGACTTTTGTGACATACAAGGGACAATTTGCTTGTTTTGCTATTGTAATAGCCCGATACACTGCTTCTGTTTCAACCTTGGAAAACAGGAACCATTAGATAAATTTCAAAATATCTCTTAGCTCAAGCAGCATCCCTAGACACTGATCAACAGTTTGGAATAAAAGAACTCAGTTATAATATGCTGCACTAATTAGTTTTTATAAGACTTCTCCCCTGCCTACCTCTCACTGCACTCATTGGAAAAAGCAGTTCCAGGAAAACATTGGAAAATTAGCATCTCATTTCTCGCATTATTGATTTTAAATATTATAAATAATTCAGTCAGGCAATAACTATTTTAAAAGATGCTTATTAGATAGCAAATTCCATTAAACACTGCAGGACTTGCTTCCAAATACATGTGTATAGGATTCCCTGTTTCAAATTATCTTCTTTTTATAAAAAATTATTTAAAAAGGGAATTCTATATGCATGTATTTGGAAGCATGTCCCACTGTGTTTAATGGAACTTTCTATCTAATAAGCATGTTTGGAAGGGCTGCCAAGGAACGTCATCCACAAGAAAAAGTTAAAACAGCTGAAGTTCAGTCCTTCATGTAAACTGTATGGGAGTTAATATTACAAATTGCCCAAATGTCAAGTGTCAAAATATACAAATGACATCCTCTTTAATCAATCTTCCTTATTTAATTTTTTTCCATTTCAGCAGAACATAAACATGGTTTTAGTCATAAAGTGATAATGTGCATCCCTGTGGCTCTGAGATACCCACTGATGAGGCTTCTTGTTGACTTCAGTCCATAATCTGAACTGCCCCAAGACTTACATTAATGAAGATGATTAAAGCCATTGTGCTTAGATCTCTGGTTGGCCTAACAAGCATCAATAATGGGTCATACATGCTGGAACTGACAATCACAGTGTTTGCTGCAGAATGGGGAAAACATTCTATAATTGCCTAGTGAGCTATCGTGCTGGCCCCAGAGAATGGAACACATGCATATGAGACATAAAACAGAAAGAACAATATAATGGCAGTTTGAATGGACAGGAAGCTCATTACAGCTCTAGAATACAGGACTGGATACAGACGGAGTCACACTTACAGTAGATGCACCAAATGAATGGGATTTAAGCTAAGCTGATCATGACCCAACCTAATATCTAGAACTCCCTGCAATATACCAAGCTGAAGGTAGAGAATTACGAGTTGCATTTTGATCCTATTAGGAAAATTCATGCCGCAAGGAAAAGCAGCTGTTAAGACAGGAATGCTTTCCCCTAATGACCTACTTTCCACATGAAACAGAATTCTAATCTTCATTTTCTTTAACCACATTATGAGTTTACCAAGTGATGTTTCTCAGTGTGTAAATCAGTACTTAATTTCAGTATCCTTCACCCACCCTTATTTTGGAAAAAAAAGCACTTTGACTTGAAGCCTTGTAAATTTTGGTGACAGGTCTGTAAAAGGGGCTGTAAATATAAAAATGACACCCAACAACATATATGAACTTAGCCTATTTATGTTGAGATAGAAGTGTTTCTTGGGGACCAACTTAATTTACCTCTTCTGGATGACTGAGAACATGACCCTCTGGACCGGTAATCCCCAGTTCCAATAATCTTTTTTGTTCCTAAATGAAGAAATATAGGAGAATCACTAAATAAGAAGTGTGAAAAGGTATGTTTTGAAAGGATGCAATATTATCTTTAAAAACAAAGTCATTTCAGTCCATGATAATCACAGCAGCATATATCCTCACTGTATTCACAGCTTGGCAACAGAACAAAGTGCTTTATGAAGTCTTCTACTTTATGGTTTTCAAAGCGAGTATGATCAATTATTTCTGTTGAAAATTAGTATAGGCATCTATCAAGGGCAGAGGGTTGGATAGAAAATACCATTCTAAAAGGAAACTGTGGCAGAGAACAAGGTTGCTGAAGGAGGATGGTTTGTCATGTCATTGTGATATGTAGAGTTTCGGCTGATTAAGTGTGCCTAAGAAGTGGTCCATCTAACAGCTCTGTTCAGTTCAGTCTTCCACATCAAAGCCCCAAAACAGCACTGATGCAGTTCAAAAAGTCTCCTCTAAGGATTTTCCTCATGGAAGCCAGATTTATGTAGGAATCTGCCTTGCTAAGTCTGAGAGCATACAATGCTTAAGAAATATGCTGGTTTAATTAAGGAAAGTTACTTTAATAGCAGAACTCATACAGTCATTTACATCTATAAGCTTCTGAGTTCCTTTTCTGGCATCACCAGTTAAAACAGGAATGTGATACTTCTGGGGGGGCACACTGAACCTCCATAAACTCAAAGCAGCTAAATCACTACCAAAATTTGGTAGTCAACACCAAGATTCTTACCGCAACTGCTGTTGTTTACACTACAACTCCCAGAATTCCCATGGCTTTGTAGCTGAGGGATTCTGGAAGACATATTCCAAAAAAGGGTAACTCCTCCAAGCCCTAGTTGCTACTGAATTCAGTGCTAAGTGCTGCCATATTCTATGGTGCAGGAGGATGTCAGAGCGCCTGGCAACATTCTAGAATCCTGCAGACATCCAAGGCAGAGTGCCTCCTTCTCTGCCAAGAAAAGAAGGAAAGTGGTCTTCATGTAGCACTATTCAATTTTGGTTACAGGCTGTGCAGAAGGGGGGAAATTAGAATGGAAGAAAGAAATGGAGGTTGGTAGAGACACGCTGCATTTGCAAAACATTTATTGCAAAACCCTACTTGTTCCTCCTATATCCAGGATGTCTCTTCCCATGCTTGTGTGATGTAGCCAAAACTGCCAAGCACAGAAGAGAAACAAGACTCAGAGGAACATTTACCGAAGCACAGAACAACTTCTGTGGGAAGCTGGGCAGGGGAAGGGGGAGAGCATTCCCAAATAGCCCAATGAGAACTGAACACGTTTGGTAGTTACTGAACATTGTGATTTTTGTGAGGACAATGAGAAATCTGCAGGGGGGTGCATTTAGAATGAAATGGAGGAGGTCATGGCTGATTGAACCCTGAATATTTCACTGCACTACACTGCAACAACCCACAGGTGAGGACAGGTGATATCTTTATTAGGCTACTACAAAACGACACACAAATACTAGCTTTTTATCTGTACAGGTCTTCCTCAGGCTGGGCACTACTGCGGTGCATGGCAGATGTCTATGTCATTAGTTAGAACTGAGTTTCAAAATGGGGGCTTCAAATGAAAGTCTGGAGTGGAGGTTTCACATTCCACCATTTTGAAACTCACTTTTAACTAAGGGGCCTGGCATGGACCTCTGCCATGTTTTTTGGAATGTTCCACTTTTCCCCCATACCACAACAGTGCCTAGCCTCAGGAAAACCTGTACAGGTCAAAAGACAGCGTTGGTCTGTGACCTTTTTTAAATAGTCTCATAAAATATCACCTACTCTCACCTTTGTATCATGTGCAAGGACCACATGTCTTTTTAAACTTTGTTACATTTCAACAAAAAATTCCTGAAAAAAAACTAGGCTCAGAGGAGATTTAAGTGCACGGAGAACTGGCTGTCAAGCAGGAGGCTATAAAACATACCATTCCCACACTGAAGAAGCTGGGCCTCCCCGATGTTTATACCTCTAGTCTACACAAAGCAACTAAATACTTTTTTTTCCATTTTAAATGACTACTGCAAGTAGACACAGGAAATTGTATTTATGGATAATATTCCGGGGGGGGGGAGGATCCCTATCCTTGGGGAAAATATATTAGGGAGTATTATGGAGTAGAATCCTCTGTGGAGCTCCTTCCGCTACCACTCCCACACTGAAGAAGCTGGGCCTCCCCGATGTTTATACCTCTAGTCTACACAAAGCAACTAAATACTTTTTTTTCCATTTTAAATGACTACTGCAAGTAGACACAGGAAATTGTATTTATGGATAATATTCCGGGGGGGGGATCCCTATCTTTGGGGAAAATATATTAGGGAGTATTATAGAGTAGAATCCTCTGTGGAGCTCCTTCCGCAGGAAGCATTAAAATATATTGTCACGACTGGGTTATGGGTAGCAGCATAAAGTGAGCCAGTAAATGGGATCAGAGATTAAGAATGAAAGGACAAACCAGGAACCACTCTACCTCATCTATGATGTCTCCATTTTCAGCATGTACTTGAGCAATGGCACCTAGATCTCGAACAATAGTGAAGATCTCATACATCTGCCAGACAAGACAAAACAGACACATATACAAACCACATATTGAAAATCTGATAAAGCTCGAGTTTTTACATCAATGTATAGTTGGAATTTGTTTGCATGCCATGCCTACGATTACCTGAGCATCAGTGCACTGGAATTTGTCTTTGTACGCCATGAAAACAAGAAAGGAGTTCACACCTTAACAAAAGCAGAAGTAAGTTAATGGCTACAATTGGAAAAAATATGAACAATTTCCAGGTGACATAGTCCAAGCCTTAGGATTTGATTTGAAAAATGGAGGAGAATCACAAGCCTGCTGTGAGCCATAAACTTCATTAGGCAAAACAAACCACCCTTCAATTCAGTAGAATTTATCTCTAAGCAAATGACTTCATGTTCTCAGCCAAGACGATGCAGGAACATAACCAAGGTTGTGAAATGCTAGCAAGTCTAGCCAGAAGTAAGTCATCTATTGCCATCCATGAACCCCAATGCCAAAGAGAAGGTGTACTACTATGTTTCAAGAAGATGTCTGGCATCAGTGTGAACAACTAATCTTACAACCTTGCCAATTTAAAAGTAAAATGAGAGTTTCAAAGGAAGATAAGAACACATGCCAATATCAGGTTAATTGGGCAGTCTGTGTTAGTTTCTATGATGCCCTGTGACATTTAAAAGCATTGTTTAGTGATAGTAAGTATATTGTTTTGAAATGCATTCATTTGATAAGTACACGCTGGGAGTGGGTTAGAGAGGAACATGGGAAGTTGTTAAGAATGATTCTGATGGGGTGGAAGAAACTATAGAAGCTGAGGGTTGGATAAATGTATGGAAGAGTCTAGGGGTAGAGAGGGCAGAGAAAGGGTGGTTTTTAAGGAAAAGCCTAAATTTTTTGAGAGAGAAAGAGATGGGAGAGAGAGAAGAATCATGCTGAATACTGTACATCTAAAACTTTGGAATAAATAACATCCTTTGAACACTGTTATTTTAATATAATTTGTTTAAATTGATTCAGGCTGGGTGCTGAAGATTTGAATACCTGAGGCTTGTGCATGTGGAATATATTAGAAGGGCTTGAGTGGAGGTAAAATATACACAGACAAGGGGCAACTAAAGGTTAGTGGCAATTAAAGAGGAAGAAAAAAATAAATAAAATTATTAAAGAAAATACATTTATTTCTTTGCTTATTTAAAGAGACTATTACCCAAATAATCAGCTTAAAAACACTTGGAAGAATATAAATACAAATGATGACAAAAAGAAACAAGGACTGGTAAGAAAATGAAATAACATTTTCTCTTAAAATTCTTCTAATAATAGTTAAAATGCAATTTTTTTAAGTTTTGAAAGGAAGTAGAAAAATACTTCTTAAATCAAAAAGCAGCATCATAACTAATTGCTGCAAAACTTTTGAAATACAATGCAATCATGTTTTCTTTATCCAAGGAGGGGAAAATGAAAGAGGGAGAAGAAACAGAAGTTACATGTAACTATGTTATTTATGATTAGTTGCTTTCAAGCTTTTACCACAACTAGAGTAGACTTATTGAAGGAATGAGACTTAAAAGGCTGAAATCCTATTGGTTAGTGTAAGGAAATTCATAATTTTCTGTCCATTCCTAATTGACAAATAAGAAGTCCCTGCTGTAATTCTTGGGGGGGGGGGTAGGTGCATATACACACCAAGCCAGCACCCCAAAGAATCACAGTGGGGGTGTTTTTAATTTGTTGGCTAGGAAGGGACTGAGTATTATATATTTTCTTCCATTGGGCAATGGGATTTCAGCCATTCAGTCAATTGTAAAATCCTAACAACAAAAGTTAAACTGAATTTTTAGAGCAGTGTAATCCAGTTAGTGTAAATCGCAGTAGCCAATTGCCACAAGTTTAGAAGTCAGCAAAACCATTTGCTGTTGCATGCTGACTTATGCAATCCAATGCATAATACCAAACACATACACTGAGTGCTTAAATTGTAATAATTCACTTACTGCGTTCTGCTGGCAGATGTATATAATAGCTCCTCGTCTGTTGGTTTAATGGTCTGTTTTAGTCAGGATTAACAACTGGACTTAGCTTGTAATTATTGCTTTCCCTTAAAGCATATTTGTGTCCTTACCTTTGTCTTTGACCAGAGCCTCCAATTCTTCTTTTATGCTCTCATGCCAACGTGTGATGTCAAGATGCAAAGAATAATCGCAACACGCTTTACTATCAGCACACTCCCTCCATTGGTCGTAGGCAGTCAGGAGATTTGTTCCAGACTCAGGGAATACATGATCAACTGGAGAAACAAGCAAATAAGAAGTCCCTGCTGTAATTCTTG